CAGAGCGCGCTGGGGAGGAGGTGGGGGTGGCAGAGGGAAAGGCTGAGGAAGGGAAGACCGAGGGGCGGCGAAGCGCGAGGGGAGGTAGCGAGGAACGCCGCTGCTGCCGCCGCCGCCGCCGCCGCCGCCACCGAGTTTTCAGCCGCCCTGTTGCTGCTGCTGCTGCTGCTGCCGCTGCCGCCGCCGGCCGGGCAGCGCCTCACGGGGCGGGCTGCGCTCCGCTGTCGCTGCGACGCTCGCTGCTGCTGCCGGCGGCCGCTCTCTGCAGCCGCGCTCCATGTCCCTCGGCTCGGCGGCAGCCCCAGCAGCAGCGGCGGCGGCGGCGGCTGCTGCAGGCGCCGAGGCGGCGGCTCCACATCGCGCGCCGCGCAGCCGGGCGAGCTCCTTCCTGCCTCCCTCAGCTCCTCCCGCTCACCGGGCCGGCCGCACCCCGCCCCGGGCTTCCGGCCGCGCCCCCTCTCCCCGCCCCTTGCCGGCGCCTGACGCGCGCCGGCACCTGTTCGCTGCGCCCGCGCGGGATTCGCCGACTCGCGGGTCTCCTCAGCGGCGCCCAGGTGGCGCCGGCGGCCTTAACCCCTGCGCTGCCTCAAGCCCGGGAATGGCTGCGCGCGCCGCCTGGGGAGGCGGCTGGCGCATCCCTAACGGTCCGGGAGGCTCCCCGGCGCGGCCACGCCCCCCGGCCTCTAGCTCACGTCGGGTGTGGGCCCGCCCCCAGCACGCTCACCTCGGGGTGTGGCCTCGCTCTCACCTCGGAGCACGGCCCCGCCCCCAGCCTCGTTCTCACCTCGGTGCGCGGTCCCGCCTCCGGGCTCGCGCCCACTCGTGGCTTGGGGCGTTTCTCCGAGTTCGGTGGAGGTCAGTTTTCTCGCGCCTTACGTGGTCTCCTAGAGGACTGGGGACCTTCTTCCAAGGCCGAGCCCCAGCAGAGACGAGTGATCATGGAATTTTGGTCTGGGCCCCCCACCCTCAGAGCTAAACAGTCAGGAGAGGGAGCCCTAGAGAGCAGGAGGGGGAGGGATGACTTCAGAAACCAAGCATTTTAATGATGATGACTCAGGGATATGAGGGACAGATGCCTTCAAGATCAAAAGCCCCGAAAGAAAGGGTTATGTTGAGAAAATAACGGAAAAAACTGCTCACCGATGGGAATATGAAACAGAATTGCCTTGATAATGACTTCTGTATGTTAGGTCTTAATATGTGCCGTGTCTTGTGCTGAGTGCTTTGTACTCATTATCTTAGATAATCCTAACAAAAAAACCTATCAAGTAAGTGCTGTCGCTCTTTCCATTTTACAGGGAGGAAATTGAGGCATCGAGAGGTGGAGTTATCTGCCCACTAGCTCACACCCAGGCAGGCTGACTCCAGGATTTTCATAAGTCCTTATTCTTTACTTTCCTTGTGCGTGAGAAGTCTCGAGGAAGAGAAACGGTAATTTGTGACCAAGATGTCCTGGGTGGATATAGAAGGTGGTATCAGGAAGCTTCCGGCAATGATCTAAACAAGAATTGAAAAGCCTACTGGGAGACTCCAGGCAGTTCTTGCTCTGACCTCACTGGTGATGCTCTGTCTCCTATTTTCAGAAACAATCCCATCTGAAGCTAGAATTGGTTCCTCTTCTTTTCTTTTCCTCTTGAATAACAACCCATTCTTGAGTTAGATCATAACTTGATTCTTTTCATCACAGCGAGGTGGAAATTTCCGGACACCAAGAGACTGAAATGGGTCAAATGGCTTCTCCTGGCTTTTATTCTTTATTAAATTCAGAGCCTGTCAATATTCCGGTGTAGACATGAGACTGAACCTCAGGTCTGGTTTTGTTTGTTTGTTGAGTGGAGAGGAGACAGACAACTGAGGATTCCCTCATAAATCGTAAAGCTAAATTTAGGAAGTCGACCCAGGTACTGTTCCCACAGCAGTGGATTGTTCTAACACTTTTTATTATGCCTCTTGAGTAGAAATTGTGGACCCAGGGTGAGATCCGACTGCAACTCCCTTTGGTCTTTTTTGGTCACAAAAGGACAAATTTCTTCCTAATCTATTTTATAGAGAAACATATATCAAGAGCAAACGGATTCCTAATCAAAAAGAGTTTCAGAGGAGGAAAAAATCTTTCCAATGCCTTTAAAGAAGCACATAAGTTTCATATCTACACAAATAGTAATAGTATATAGGCATATGGAGGTACAAAAAAGGGGGGGGTCAGCGCTTTGTCTCTCCTTGATGCAGACTTGACAGCCTATCTTTCCTGAAAGGTATTTGACTTGCCTTTCTTGAGCTCAATGGCTCTCCTCTATTAGACTTACCTGTTACTGTGAGAAAGAACTACAATCAACTCCAGCTCCTGACGATCTTTCTAAACAATGTTCCCCCACCTAAACAGACTAAGAAGTGATAATTTTCTATTATAGATTTGCCCTAAGCCCTATGTTTCTTAGGGCAAAGGAGACCAGCTCAAATTTAGAGAACTATTCAGAATCGTGGTTGTTACAGTTTTTGATCTCACAACCTCCTTATACTCTTAAAAATTACTGAGGATCTCAAAAACCTTTTTGTAGGTTTAGATAATTATATTTACTTACATAGTAAAAATTAAAACTGAGAACATTTAAAACATTAATTCATGGGGCACCTGGGTGGCTCAGTAGGTTAAGCATCTGGCTCTTGATCTCCACTCAGGTCTCGGTTGTGAGTTCAAGCCCCATATTGGGCTCCACTCTGGGCATGGGGCCTACTTTAAATAAATAAATAAAGATACTTAGAATACATCTGTTACATGTTACATACAAATATATTCCCAAATAAAAAAATGAGTGAGAAGAATGCCAGTATTTTTCATTTTTACAAATGTCTTTAATGTTTGGTTTAGTAATAGAAAATTGGATTTTTATATCTGCTTCTCCTTTTGATATAGTGATATTTTGTTTAGATTGAAATATACAAAGTTGGGGCACCTGGGAGGCTCAGTCGTTTAAGCATCTGCCTTCAGCTCAGGTCATGATCCCAGGGTACTGAGGAAAATCTTTAAAAAAAAAAAAAAAGGAATATTAGGAAATCTGGTCTCACAAAGATGTAGTTGGGAAAAGAAGGAATATTTTAATAGCCTTTACAGATCATTGTGAATATTTCTCTTTGATATTACATTAAAACTTGGCAAGTAGTAGCTTCTTAAAGGTTAGTTGCCATATGGAATCTAAAACATTATCAAGCAAATGCATTAATCTATATTTCATTTTGAATGTATCTTTTAGCCACATATGACTGATTCTGTAACAGCACAGGTTGGTCATTTGGAAAATATCAGTTCACTAAGCTCTATAAATCTTTCAAATATTGTGACATGTCATTATAGTATATTTTAAAAATCACAGTTACTAATATCATCACTGATCTCATCAGAAAAGTCTTCAAGTATTGGCAAGCTATCATGCTCAGTGAGGTGGCTTTGATTTTTTTGGAATTCTAATTTCCACTGAAAATCTCCGATCTTATCATTGGTAAAATACTGTCAATTATTTTCCTTGAAGTAACAGGCTTGCTTCATTAATTTTTGAGAAACTCTCTGCCAGATACCCAAATCTGAATGCCATAGTTTGCCATTCATTCATTTATTCATTCAAGAAAGGCATTTCATGACCAATATGACTAGTTCAGCTCACAGCTCAAATCGTGCTTCATCTCAAGGTGACCACTATACTTGGGCATACAGTAGAGTGCTTCATGGGTACTGCCCATTTTATCACATGGACTGTTCTAAAAATATGTATGTACTTGCTTTGGTAGCACATATAATAAAAAGAGTTATACTCAAGGGGTCAGTATTTAATAAAAGTAAGACTAGCTCCCCCGCCCCCAAGCCGCCCCGAGCACATGCTAGTGAAAAGAAACAGTGAATGCTGGTACTACTGTCTTGATTCATGCTAATGTATCAGTAGTGTTATCCACCAGTGTTTACACACCGTCAGGGCCAATGTTAATGCAGTGAAAATGAAAATAGTTACTGATTAGATGATTAGTATTATTAAGAAATTAGTTTTGCTATTAATGAATAAAGTGAGAGTTACTAACATTTCAGTTATTATGAAAAGAGTGTTTATTGGGGCGCCTGGGTGGCTCAGTGGGTTGAGCCTCTGCCTTCGTCTCGGATCGTGATCCCAGGGTCCTGGGATCCTGGGATGGAGTCTCCCATTGGGCTCTCTGCTCGCCGGGGAGCCTGCTTCCCACCCCAACCCCTCTGCCTGCCTCTCTGCCTACTTGTGATCTCTCTCTATCAAATAAGTAAATCAAATCTTTTAAAAAAATGTTTATTTTATAGATTCCCTGAAAGGGTCTTTGGGACTTCCTGGAGTTAGGGAATCACACGCTGTGTTGGTTTAGAGCCATTCGAAACCCTCAGGTCAGTCTTGACCTAGAAGAATGAACAAGTACCTTGCCTACATGGAAATTAGAGCCAGAACTCAAAACCCATCAAAGCAAAGTTATGAAAACCCTCAAGCTTCTCAGAAGCTTATTGTTTAGTTTATTCTGCGTCATACTAGATATGATAATATCCAAAATATATTTAGCATTGCATTCCTGACATCCTTTCTACGAC